AGCTCTGCTCCAACCTCCTGGTGAAAAACCTCTGCACGAGTGACCTGGTGTTCGACCCAGGTGAGGAGCTGAGGCCTCCGGTTTCTCTTGTGACTTAAACCCAGCCTGGATGGAACCGTGGGGGGTTTAAAGCTGCTTTTGCAGGCGTGATGCCAGCAGGGCCGTTAGCCTGGCAGAACACTAGGCTGCTGCCGTGGGATAGGAAGCAGAAAGGGCAAAATACTTGGTGCAATGTTAAGTTTCACGTGCGCAGGTTAATACAATCTCCTGACCTCTGGAGGAAAGAGTCCTCTCATCTTCCAACTGTAAAAGTGAATGATAAGAGCAAAGTTAAGTATCTTACCAAAGTTAGAATTTTTTTCAGGGGAAAAAAATTAAAGGTATTGCCAAGCCTCACTTCTCCAAGGCCTGTGCTTTTATCTGCCGGAAGAGCCTGTGGGTTTTTTGTCTCGGAAATCTTCCAACCTACTTTTTTTATCCACCTGCTCAGTGTGGCAGAGATACTTCGGTCAAAACCTTTGATTCTGCCTTTCTTTTTTTGGGCTGGAAATCTGTCCGAAATGACTGGGCGGCTGGAAAGCATCAGTGAGGAGGAAGTTATAGATGCTGCTTTCAGATTCCGGAAACTTTTTATATCTTGAAGACTTTCCTGAATTTACAAATGCATGAAGGAGAGAAGACAAGAAAATGAGAAAAGAGCTTTAACACAAATCACGTGAAACTGCTGAATCACTGAATAGTGAATCTTGGGTCTGGGGGATTTCTAACTCGATACCAAGGGTTTATGCACTGGGGTCTTTTTTGGAGGTTGAGAGTTTCGGGAATATTCCCGTGCAAAGGTGTGTTAGTTTGTTACAGAGCTCGGGGTTGTAATCTTTGTTTTTCAGGTGTTTTCAAAGAGGGAAATGGTTTGTGCCTGTGCCCCACGGGGAACGTCATGATCTCAGCAAGCTCCACAGGTCTTGGAGAACTTACTCTTTATTAAGTCTTACTCTTTATATCTTTATCTCTGTGCTGCCAGGTGTGACCTTCTCCGAGGCCCGGCGAGCTGACCTGGCCTGCCGCGGGGTCGCTCCCATGCCACGAGAAATGGCTTTCCCTGTGCCGAAGGGAGAGAAGTGGCATGACCTCTACGACTACATCAGGTACGGCTGCTCCCAGCTGTGCGGCTCTGAGACCTCCCCGTTCCCGGGGGAAGGCAGGACGGGTAGTGCCGCTTAAGGAATGACAGATCCGGACAAACCTGGGGCTCGAGTGGAGACATTTTGGTCACTCCCACTCCAGCATTTAGGTGTCGTTAACATATCTACCCTGGTCTAAGCTTAATTGCTGATTGGTGATATTTTGGGGCAGGAAAAAGGCCGTAGAGCACTCCTATGCCTGGCGTTAACATCAGTCCTCTCTCTCAATGATCTCTTGCTGGGATTGCTCCCGTGGCTGATCTAGCATAATGCAAGCCTTTCTTCTGCGCGTGCTGCTCCTAGGGAGCCTCGTGCTAGTTAAAGGGCGGTCTGACAGGGGCTGCTGAGCTGTCATCGGCCGTAACGCCTCGTCAGGGGGCAGACGTAAGGGTACCTTCCTCAGCTTCCGTGCTGGGCTCCCATCGGTGGTGAGGCTTTTGCCAGAGAACTCTGTCGGTCATAAGTTGCAGCTCATCGCAGTCATCGGCTTAGCGGCGTTGCCTGAAGTGCGCGACACTGAGTTAACCCCTGGAAAGTAACAGTGTAGGTCAGGCCTGGGAGATGCTTTAGTATCCCTATATTTGGGGGAGGAGGAGACAAAAGGGGGACTCTTACAGGAGACAGTGAAGAGGCTTTTGTGCCAGGCAGTAAGTTACCACGTGAGATTGCCGGGTGCCTGTGCAGCATCCTGATTACACAGCACCCTCCTCTGATTTTGCTCAGGTTCCCATCCGAGGGGTCCAAGCTGCCGTACGACTCCATCCAGAAGAGCTGTCCCGGTCCTGTGGCAGGTGGGAAGGCTGGGGACAGCAGCCGAGGCTGTGCCGCCCCGGGTGAATGCCTCGGGTTTCCGAAAGAGCCCAACCTGCTCCTCGTGTCACCCAGGTGGCCAAGTCTCAGAGGACCCCATCCAACAGCTGCCCCAGCCGGTGACGCTCACCAAAGCAGTCCGCGACCGACTGTCCCTCATCCATCAGATAACCAGTCCCAAAGCTGTAAGTGCACTGTGGAGGAGGCTGCAACTTCTTCCTTTCTGCCTCCCATGGAGTTTTTCCCCATGTCTTGTCTTTGAGTTCCTTTATGTAGGACGTAGAAGCTGCTTGTTGTCATTTGCGGCTGATCCGGGCAGGTCAGACCCCTGATCTGGGCACGGGTCTGTTGACCACAGCCCGGCAGTTAATGACTGGGTGGTTCAGTCTAGCATAGCACAGAGCAGAGACGAGATAAATGCCAAGTACCTGTTAATCTCCAGACATCTATCCGCCCTGTCTCAGCTGAGGCAGCAAATAGTTGCGTCTTCAAATTATAGATAGGAAATGAGGACTGGAGACTAAAGAACTTGATCAGGTGCCCCCAGGGAGCAGAGCAGTGTGTGGAGTCCGGACTGCTGGGACTGCGGGCAGCTGCCCTCACCGCTGGTTTTCCCTTCCCTGCTGGCAGTGACGCAGGAGCTGGTGCTCAGACTGGCTTACCAGACAGCGTGATGATGGGCTTTTGGAGAGGGACTGGGGGAAGCCATCCTTCTCATGCTGTGGAGAGGGAGAAAATGAGGAGCACGACCGCTTTCCTGTTCTGAACTGGGATGCTCCGAGCTGGCTGGCCAGGCGCTTTTAGCCTCTGCTCAGTGGAGAGAGGGCAGCTCTTCCAGAGACTGTTCAGGGCTGGGTCTTTCCTGGGGCTCTGGTTTGTTGTCTGGAGGAGGCGAACCGTGCACAGACAACACTGGGAGCGTAGGGAGGGTGGCTGGTTAATGTACCTGGCCAAGCTACATACCGACAGGGATGCTCTCCCTCTGTGTTGCTCCATCCTTGTTTGTATCGCTGTGAAGGGTCACTCGGGAGAGACGTGGGTGTCTCCCTGTCTCTGCCTTTGCAGTGGGTGGAAGGCGCTGGGAGGGGGGCCGATCTCTGTCTGAGGCTTTGCTCTTTCTCAGATGCCGCGTCGGCGTCCTGTAATTACGGAAAGCATCCCTGAGGTTTACCTGACAGTCCCAGGGTCTCCGAGAGCCGTGCCTGCTACGGACCGGGAGCTAGAGAAGAACCAGAGACCGCACAGTGCAGGGGACGCTGGGCAGTCGCCGTCAGTCAGTGATGGTGGCATCCACGTGTACGCTCACCAGAGGAGCGAACGAACCGTCCGAGCCATCCGCACCAGCTCAGAGGAGGTGGGTGAAGTGCTGAGGAGTCACAGCAGCCCGAGGGTGGCTTTGGGACGCTTATGGCTGATGTTTGTGAGCCCGGCAGAAGGAGCAGAGGGAACACAAGTTTCAGGCTGGAGTTTCAGTTAATCCTATGGAATCCTTTTGCTGGCGTTAGTTTTTCTGACTAGTTCTATTTTCCACTAGTATCATATTTGTCTTGAAAGAGGGACCCTGTGTTCGAATGCACTGACCTTAAGCCAATAATATATGTTGACTAATTTGCCCAGAGCGTGTACAGGAAGGGCCCTGGACCAGTCGTGCCGTCCGGCAGGAGAGCCTCTGCCTGCGGGGTAAGAGGACAGCCCCCCCCGCAGCAGCAGCCGGCTCTCTGGGCATCGCCAGGCCACTGGGGAGGGCTGGTGTAACCGCCCAGCGTGGGTGGGATTGCTGCTTAACGCTGGGACATCCCAGCTCCTCCTTCCTTCCAGATTTGACTTCCGCCAAGTTAAATTCTTTAAAGCCTTCCCCTCTAACAGGAGAGAACCCAAAGCTGCCTCTGTGCTTTAGAGAGAAAGGAGCAATGGGGACGGAGGGGCCCCGTGGGCAGAGGACTTCAGTCTGGCTCAAAGTGCGACGGTACTTTCTGTGGTTTGGTTTTTTTTTTTTCCAGAGGCTCTTACCAGATCCCATCCTGAAGCTGAGAATGATCATTGGCTTTGGAGGCTGCAGCACCAAATGGGTCAGTAGCTCAGATGGTTTGGGGAGTTTATGTGTAATCACAGATCGATTTTTTTTCGGAGGCACGAAAGGCAGCGGAGTGCCACCCTTCCTGCACTTTTTTGATGGGGAAAATGTCCCCAAAGCAGATGGGCACGAGCTTATGCTTGTGCATGGGTCTTCTGCTGTTACGATGGTGAATTAGAAATTATGGGGACTTTTTAGATCTCATGGCTTCTGCATTTTAACATGTTAAAATTAGAGCTGCTTTGTAAGAGTCTGGAAAGGAAGGGCTGTGTTTTGGATTGTTTCCATGGGGCACGGTGCCTTGCAGGAGCCCAGCTTGCGGTCTTTGTTAGGGTAAAGAAAGGGTCGTTTTCGTTCAGGCAGTTCAAGGCTCTGCCGACAGCACGATTTTCCTTGTATCTGCTGTTCACATAGTAGAGATGATTGGTACGGTAAATCCACTGAATTAAGTAGGATGTCGGCTGGGCTCTTAGTTTTCCTTTGCGAGTTAGAAGAGTACTTGTATGGAAGAGCATCCTCTCACCTGCACACGTGCAGCAGATCTCCTGTTGAAGAAATCTCTGCAGGTCCAGCCTAGGACCTGGGGCGCTTCTGGAGGATCTGCAGCCCTCTCGTTCCTGTCTCGGTCCTGCAGGCGCTGTGGACTCAGAACAACGCTGCGGTGGTCTACCCCTGCCACGCTGTTATAGTGACCCTGCGGATCCAGACCGGAGAGCAGAGGTTCTTTGTTGGACACACCGATAAAGTGAGCGTAACTCTTTACACAGCCGTACAGCAATGCTGTCCTTGTACCCCAGATGTACCCCCGGTCCCAGCTCTCCTCGAAAGTCTCTAACCTGGTGCTTCCCGCAGGTCTCGGCGCTGGCCTTCAATGGGAACAGCACCTTGCTGGCTTCTGCACAGTGCCCTGAGCGTGGTGCGCCTCTGGGACTTCCCGACGGGCAGCTGCCTCTCGGTGTTTAAAACCCACGTCCGCTCCCTCTTGTCCCTGAGGTGGGTTTCAGCCTGGGCGCAGGGATGCGTTCAGGTGGACTAAGCGTTGCAGCATGGCAGCTTTTCTGTGCTATTCATGTGTGATAAACCAGGGGTGAATTATAGCTCTCCTTCAGCTGCCTGTGTTCATCACCGAGACCTGCTGGCAGCTGGCCCGGAACAGCCATTATCTGCCAGCTCCCTCCTGAGCTTATCCCTCAGGTCTTGCTGTCTCCTTATACCCTGAACTTGTCTCCTTTTGTTCCCCGCTGAGATGCACTCGGGGTACAAGGAGCTGCATTTCACGAGGTAGCCTCTTCTTGCAGCTTTTCCTACAGCGGAGCCGTTCTGTGTGGCGTCGGAAAGGATGGGCACGGCAAAACGGTGAGGACTGAAACCTGGTTTTGGGGGTTTCCCCACCCTGCGAACAAGCAACATGAGGTGGCTGTTCTCTCAGATTACGTAGTTATTTTGCAGACAAACCTCTGGGCTTTCTAGACGCATTCTTCACTGTAGTCAGAGGGAGATCCCTTGCTCCTTAGCTGCTTCCCTTCTACCTGATGCTTGCGAGTGTTCGCATGCGCGATCCTCCGCTGCAAGCAAACAAATCCTTTCGTAAGCAGCCTGAGAGACCTGCTCAGGTTGAGCTTTGGGGCTGTTTCTGCCCCTGGTCCCAGCTAGGAGCCCAGCCAGGGTGATGAAGGCAGCTGTGTGATTCTGCCTGCACCCTGCGGGGATCGCTGCAGGCTCACAGGCAGTGTTGCCACCTGCCTCCGCAGCCGTTCTGGCCCACCGGGCTGAGGATGACACGTGCTTGTGTGGTATTTTGGGCTGAAAGGCTTGCAAGCATGTAGTGGAGGAATAGGAATTGAAATGGGAGGTTCAGCACTGACTAGAGCCAAAAAAACCCTTTTTTATAGCATTTAGGGCAAGATGCGAGGTTTAATCTTTCAGTTCTGAGCATCGTAGGCATCGCTGCTGGGAGGGATGCTGGGAACTGAAGCTGCCACCCACCCATGTAGCTAGGGGATGACGCAGATCCCACGTGTAGCAGTCAAAAATAAAATTGTTTCATGGGACTGGGGGTTTTGCTCTATCAGTGGAACTGTTTTCATCCACTGATCCCTTATTGACAACTACCAGCAATTAGCTGTGCCATCGCTAACTGCATACTGCCTGCAGGAAAAAATAAACAGCACTCTGTTTTTTTCCTGGTGTGTGGCAGCGGTCCCTGATCCGGGTGGGAGCTGGCGAGCTGAAACTGGGGAGGGGGGATCAATAGGGCGAAAGCAGGATGGGAGAACGGGGGGTGCTGGGGGGCTGGCCAGGACCACCTCTCCCAGGGCGATGCCTCAGCCCATCCCAGCCTCCGAGGTGATGCTGGGTCTGTTTTTAACACTGTTTTGAAATGCAGAGCATCAAATCACCTGCATTTCTTCACCAATCTCCTCCTTTCCTTTGGGGAAAGGGTTGGACTCTTGCCCCTCGTGAGGGGCACTGTGAGCACGCAAACCTGCATCAGAGCAGAGTGCTGCGAGAGCCAGTGCAGCTGGACACGTGCTACCTTCAGCTCTCGCGGACTGGCTCAGTCCTGGTACAGCTCTTGTATCTCAGCAGGCAGAGTTCCCACTCCTGTGGATTTTCTTTCCAAGTCTGAGCCCTGTTGCCAGGCAGCCCTGGGATTTAGAACCTATAATTATGGATGCCAGACAAGTATATTGCCATGAAGCTTTGCAAAGCTGTTGGACTGTCCTAAACCCTCTGTGCGAGAGAATTTTTTTCCCCTGCTTCAATTCTGTTATCGATACTTTGTGCCCAGCTCCGGAGCAGGCTCCTGCATGTGCAGCTGGTCAGCTGCTGTGATGAAAAGGTCTTTTGCTGCCAAGGTTTCCACGTTTGAGCAGCTCTGCCATCGTGTCTTCTTGCTTCAGATGGTGACGGTGTGGAACGCTGCTCAGGTGACCCGTGGCGGAGAGGTGGCCGTGCTGGCCAAAGCGCACACGGATGTGGACATCCAGGCCTTGAAGATTGCTTTTTTTGATGATACCAGGTAGCGTGCAAAAAAAAAAAAAAAATCAAAAGTGTTGGTTCTGGCACAGCTGTGGGGGGAATGGTGGTGCTGCAGCCATCCGGTTCCCGTTGCTGTTCTCGGTCCTCACTGTCAGCTGGTGGCTCTTGGGGCACCGACCTTTCACCAGGGGCTCGGAGAGTCCTGCCCTGGTCCTCACGCAGTCTCTCCCGGGACAGGATGGTGTCGTGCGGCCGGGACAACATCAGGCTGTGGCGAGTGCGGAGCGGAGTGCTGCGCTCGTGTCCCGTCAATCTGGGCGAGTACCATTCCCTGGATTTCACTGACCTGGCCTTCGAGGAGGGACACGCGGCCGAGCGGGAGCCGGAGGACCGCACGCTGTAAGGGGCTGTTGGGCTCCTCTGTCACCCGTCCTCAGGGCTGCCTGCCAGGAGGGAGCTCTACGGCTCTCCGCTGCCTTTAGCATCCTCCTTCCCCCTCCTCTGCATGAGCATGAGATTTTGCTTGGGTTTTCCCTGAAAAATATAGCTGCCTCCTGGAGCTGGGAGAGCCTCTTCCCTCCTCAGCGCGCTTCGTTTCCCAAAAGAGATTTGGCTGCTTGCAAAATAGCCCAAGAAATGGGTCTTTCCTCTTGCCATACTGATGTTTTGCCATATTTAGTGAATCTCTCCCCCACCTGAGGCCCGTGGTTAGCTTTCTATTGGCAGCAGGAAGAGTGTGGTACATATCCTCTTGCATATAGATAGATACCCGCTTTTTTTTGTTGTTTTATTTTAATCATCAAAGCCAGACCGTTGTTGCTACCACACACTGTTCCGTAAAGGCAGTCGGCTCAGCTGGCCCTGCCTTCCCCCGGGCTGTGTCCTGTGGCAGAGAGAGGTTTCTTACTGAAGTCTGTGCTGAGCTTTTAGCCTTTTGCTAATTAATGTTTCAAAGGGACAAGAAATAAAATAGGAAGCTCTGTCTTGGCTGTAGATTTGTAGGGCAGCGCATGGAAGGGTGCCCTCGGACACCTCGTTGACCTGTTGAACCAGAATCACTTTCCATCAGGCAAACAGTTTAACCAGTAAACCAAGCTGGGTTTTCACTAAACCCCACCGGCACAGCTCCTTTTAACCCTATTGAGGGTCTCTCTCCTTCACAGCTTTGTCTGCAGCAAGAGCGGCCACGTCTTGGAGGTGGACTACAAGAACGTCTGCATGAGGAGCGTGCGGCGGCTCCTGCCCGCGCAGCCCCGGGGCTGCCAGCGGCAGGACAAGGCAGGCAGCGGCGCAGGTAGGAGTATCTGCAGGCAGGGAGGAGGGGACCAGGCAGGGAGCACCTCGACCATCGTCAGGGTCAGAAATGAATTCAAACAAATCTCTGGTAAAATAAACCAATAGACCAAAACTATCTACCTACTGCTAAGGATTATTTTGGGTTGATTAGATCATTGCTAGCTATTTGCCTCTTAAGTACTGCAAATAATCTTCCTTAGTACAGCAAAGTATCATTTTAAGAAAGAATTTTAGCATTTTAAATGCTGATTGCACTTTCAGAGAAACACTACTTTTAGAAACATGAAACAAGGTCTTAATTTGCTGATGGGAATCTTAATGTAGAGATGGAAAAAGAGCTAAGCAGACCAACAGAAAAGATGAATTTGGGGATTTTTTTCATTATTCAGCCTGTGCAGGGTGTTTGGGAAATCTTTGTTGCTGTATACTAAGTAGTACAGCTTTCGGCTCTTCCATTAATTTTAACAGTGGGAAGAATTCTCTTTCAAGTGTGATTGCTCTGATATCTTAAAAGTTAGTGCATAGTTTGCTTTGGCAAATTGAGCTAATTAATCTAGAGCATGCCTGTTTGAGAGGTATGTAACTCCGGTGCTCACTTCATGGGCGAGAAAACGCCCAAGAGGAGATGAAACGATGTCCTTGGGTGTCCTCCTGGTAGCAGTGCTGGCTCATGCCAGTGCTTTGACCAATGGACTTTATACCTGAATCAAAAAATCCCAGTTTCTGTAGATGTCTACTCTCTCTCCCTTCTTGCTACACTGCAGAGAGGATTTAAGACATGGAAATAAAAGGGGTTTGTATCTCACACAGTTAATCTAGGCCATCCCTTGCCACAAGATCCTGCTCGAGGCAAAAATATTGCAGAGTTTAAGAAGTGGTAAGAATTTTCTGTGCCTGGTGAGAGTTGCACGATGGTGAAGAGGAGTGCTGGAAAGGGACAGGGATTGAACATGTTTTGGAGTCCTGAGAAGGGCTAGCCGCAACTCATCAGCCTATACTGTCAGTCACCGTGGGATTCCTGGCTTCTTCTGAGACTTCAGCTGCTGGTGTGGGTGGACCATTGGATTCAGCTCTTGGATGGAGCAACCCTCAGTTTGAGTTTTCTTGTTTCAAATGTTTTTTGGGTTTTCAGGCCCTGGGATCGCTATAAACAGTATTAGTGTCTCCTCAACCTTCTGTGCCACGGGTTCAGAAGATGGCTACCTGCGGCTGTGGCCACTGGACTTCTCAGCCGTTGTCTTAGAGGCAGGTGAGTAGATCTGGGACCGGTGCTTCTGAGCTCCACGTCTCCATCAGCCTGCTGCTGTGAAGCCAAAGCTCCACTGCCGTGTCTCCTAAAGCAATTCTCATGAACTAGGGCATCTTTTATGCCTGCTGTCTCTAGGGGTGGCTGGCTTGGAAGTCTTTTACTTCAACAACAATTATTCATGTTCATTCTTGTAACTCGTAGGAGAAAGGGTGAGAGCAGGCACTCAGTCTTGATTTCTCTGCCCTTGTACCCATGGCTCTTCTGTCCATGAGAAATTAGGGGAGAAGTTGAGCAGTTCTTCACTTTTTTTGAAACAACCACCATAACAGCAGAGCCCAGGGACTTCTAGAAAGGACAGAGACTAATTTGTCACTAAAATCAAGCCTGCAAGCATTCAATCCTGCGGTCATGTGGGATGCTTATTCCTGTGTGCGTTACTTTCCTAAATGCGAATTTGGTTCCGTAGCTGTGCTCCAGCTGCTGCTGCTCCTTTTCCAGGGGGGTTTGGTGACTCCTGTGTCTTTCCCCAGAGCACGAGGCTCCAGTGAGTTCTGTCTGCATCAGCCCGGACAGCCGCAAAGTCTTGTGCACAACCACTGCTGGGAATCTGGGCTACCTGGATATCCAGTCCCGGGACTATAACACCCTCATGCGCTCTCACGAGGATTCCGTTTTGGCGTTCTCGGTGGAGGGGATTTGGAAGCAGATGGCAACGGTGTCTCAGGACAACACCATCCGAGTCTGGGACCTTGTATCCATGCAGCAGGTAGGTGAGACGAGAGTCAGTAGGTGTCTCGCATTTATTAATAGTCTGCCTAGTCTCTGTTTAGTGTAGCTACCAAAGCTCCACAGTTCAAGAGCCCTTAAATGTCCTCCCTGAAGCGTGGTGGGGGTACCATGGGCAAGAAATCCTTCCGGAGTATAGAGTTCTGAAAGTTTTAGCTTAATGCATGATTTGGCCTTAGCTTCTGAAGGTATTCTTAAACAAAAATATTTTCTTTTCCTCCATCTTTTGAATATTGCTTTTTAACACAAAACATAATACCCAAGGGCTTTATCTAAATGCCCAAAGTCCCAGGACTTGACTGGGCCTTAGATCGATCCAGGCAGGATGAGATTTCTGCTGTGGGACACACTCACGGTGGAGGTCTGAGGCTGTTTTGGTGTTAGGTACGGCTGCCAGGTACAGCTTTATCCAGCTTTGTGCCTGCGGTGTGTCTCTTCCCCACAGCTGTACGACTTCACAGCTGCAGAGGAAATGCCGTGTGCTGTGGCCTTTCACCCCACCCAGCAGATCCTGGCCTGTGGCTTTGACAGCGGGATGGTGCGGACCTTCAGCTTGGCTGCTTCCGATCTGCTGGTGGAGCACAAGTAAGCGCTTGCAGTGGGAGCTGCACTGGGGCAGGTACGGGTCTAACTGTGGGTGTCCTGGCAAGAGCCACAGCGAGTGGAGGTGGGAAAAGCGCTTTTCTTGAGCTCGACAATCCTCACGTCCCAGCTGAGTGGTTTTCAGACAGAGATAGCCTGCTGTGCCAAGGTTCTGGGTGGTAAAAGTCCAACCTGCGAAGGCTATGAGGGCTTTCTTTATGACTTCCTGGTGGACAGTTGGCCAACCAACAGTAGGAGAAGGCTCGTCCTAGAGAGCAGCTGAACTGGGAGCCCTTGCGAGCCTCGGCACAGGAAGCAGAGGATGCTCCAAGGGGAGAGGGAGCATGTCCCATCCAGGGACAGCTGAAGTGCTGTGCTTGCTGCTCGGCTTTCCAAAAAGTTGAAGTGTTGATTGTCCTGGGCTGCTGCAGGTGTGAGCACGGTGGGGTCCTCTGCCTGCCCCTGGTTATTTTGCTCCCCTGGGTTCTTCTCGTTGCTACTGTTTTCTGGGGCTCTGTTTGTTTGTTCTCCTCCCCTTTTTCATGTTTTCTGCCTTCTTTCAGGCAGCACCGCACTGTGATCACTGGACTGATCTTCTCCCCAGATGGCAATTTCATGTTCAGCTCCTGTTTGCAGGGAACTCTGGCTCTTTACAGCTGTATGGTGCAGAAAAGCCACGTCCTGAGAGTCCTGGGTAAGACTTTGGGGTTCTGGGTTGCCTTTTTTCTTTTTTCGGTAGCACAGACATCCTAGCACCAAAGCCAAACCAGGCTCAGCCTACTCAGAGAGATATTTTCTGATGAACCTTCTGAGCTGTGTTATTTGTGTTTATACCGTACGTGTGAGCAAACCCTAGTGACTGCCAACCCTTCCCTACCCATCCTGGTTCAAAAGCTCTCAGCTTGCTTGGTGTTATGATTTTGTGAATGGGCTGAAATCGCAGAGATCTGTCCCTTCATGTCTGGGTTCAACAGTGCATTGCCTAGAAGCAACACAAGCGTAGAGTCTTCCTACTTATTCATGCCCAAGCCCTGACTCTTTCCATTTTGTGGATGTGTTAATTTGTTTAAACTGGATTGTTTCCGTAATCCTGCCTGCAGCACAGCTGCGCAAACAGCCGTGCTGGTGAACGGAGAAGGTGGAGAGCTGCAGGCAGGGGAAGCAGTGCAGGGGCAAGGCAGTTTGGAAACATTAATGTCACATTTAATGTACGCTTTTGAAATGAGCTGTGGCACCACAAGCTTGGGCAGGGAAAGGGAGCTCCGTTATGCAATATTGTACGAAGAGGAGGATCCTGCCCCGAGAAGTGTGCAGTTGAAGTAGGCGGAGAAGGAATAGGGGCTCAGAGACATCAGGGAATTTGACCAAAATAAGCCAAGTTTGGTGTCAGTGCTGGACCTTCACATGTTGACTCTGCTCTGAAACCGTGTTCACTGCCTGGCCGTGTTCCAGGGACAGAACAGTGGAATTTTGGTGGTGGAATAAGTACAGAGAATTTCTCTGATGTCTGTGATTTTTTTTGTTTGGTTGGTTGGTTTTTGACCCTTTGGTCTATCTGCCCACCGGACTGACATCAGCGTGGTGGGGTTTGGCACTGACTTCATTCTGCGCAGGGTTCAGACACCCTGGCTGCAGCTGAGATCTTGCATTCATAGCTTCTTGTCACAGCTTCTTGTAATGTTAAAAAAAACCCACTAAAATCGGTTCTATTCCCTTGACTTTGTTCTGCTCTCCTTGGAAACGCCGCACGTTCCGTCAGGCGACAAGCCATGTATCTACACCTTGTCTTTGAGGTGGTTCACTGCACGCTTTGGGTGTTGCAGATAAAATTTGGAGCATCTTCTACAACAGGTTGCTTCTTTCTCAGGCCAGAACGTTAACCCAAGGCTGATGTGGAGGGAGGAGAAGCTGCAGCTACCGGTCAGCAGCATCATCACAGAG